ATAAAGTTGTAACCGTCTTGAACAGCCTGCTTTATCCTTGGCATCTAAAACCTCATCTTGGTGGTGGCCATCCCATGAAAATAATGCTCCACAGAAGGGGCAGGGTACCAGGGGTCAATGTAGGACAGGAGGGAAGCAGGAACTTTGACTGCCCTGCTGCTCCGGGCCGGGCCAGGTGAGTTTTACAGACCGTACCTAACTCATCCTTCGGGCAACTGCTCTCACACAGCTCTCGGCCAATGTACAGAGAGGAGGTCAGTGAAGGTCAGAAAGCCGTCTTAGCAGTCAGCCCTACAACAGGAAGGCTCTCTGATGCCAAGGCCCGCCTCGTCTTCCCCACTTATTTCTGCCTCCTGGGGAGGCCAGTCACAAAGGGGAGCTTAGCAAGGTGGTTAGGCTTCATCACTGAATTCCTGGGCTGACTGAGCAGGCCTGGCCACCCAAGAAGCCAGGCACTGTGGCATGCTGGCACCCCCTTACCTGTGGACATGAAAAACGGGATGCGGAACTTGCCGCTCAGCACCCGGGCCCGCAGATTCTGCAGCGTGCTCCCATCGAACGGCAGGGCTCCGCACACCAGCACGTACAGGACGACGCCCAGGCTCTGTGTCCCAAACAGACAGGACGGACGGTTAGTTACACCCGAGGAAACAAAGGAGGCCAAGACAGCAAGGGCAAGAGGGTGGTGGTGAGCCACACGCAGCGGGACGGCCCCTTTTGTCCTTTCTTTTTATCAACAAGGAGAAACAAACAGGAGCTGGTCAAGACCCAGTCTCCTCAGACTACGCAACCCTCCTTTTTTGCTCGGAGACCTTGACTGTGGGTAACGCACCCTGGCTCTCTCTCAGTGGTCGCCCTCTGGGGAGAAGGCGGGTGCCAGCAACAAGCAGCCTCGACTCATGGCCAAGGCAGCCATGCCCGGTGGTGCTGCCTAGGGGAGTGCGAACCCCGTGGCTCGGCCCTGGGAAAGCTGCAGGAGGCAATGCACTGAAGACACGTGACAAGATCCTAATTCACAGGCAGCATTGGGAGCCTTCGTTAGGCGGCGTCCCTGGGCCACTCTGGGTCGGTCACTCGTGCGATGGGAGGCAGCTACTCACCCAGATGTCTACCTTGGGTCCGTCATATTCCTTTCCTTCAAAGAGCTCAGGGGCGGCATAGGGGGGGCTGCCACACCAGGTCTTCAGCAGCTGCCCGGGGGTGAAGTGGTTACTGAAGCCAAAATCTGGGAAGGCAAAGGCACATTCCTGGCGTTATTTTCACCGGCAAGCACGAGTCTCTCAGTCTCTCGTCTCCAAAGTGAAGTTGAAATGCCGGCCGTGAAAAAGAGGACATTTAGCAAACAGATCGCCACCCATAGAGATAAAGAGGAGCTGGGATGTCAAAGATACCTGGGACACACAGTCACAAACGTGACTGCTTTACAGACCCCACACAGCACTGCGAGGCTGTCTTTCCCTATTAACCTGCACTTGAAGCAGGACACACAATTATTTACAAACGGAGCCAAGAATGTTTACATTTTAACTTCAATTCTCTTTAAGTCAACCCCCCCTCCCACTACTCTAAGGGAGAGTACAGGCAACTCAGAGCACCCCTGTAGGACAGGCTAGAACAGCCCCGGTGGTTTCTAAGACTAACTCTTCACGGGAGTAGAAAGCCCGGTCTTCCTCCTGAGGTTTCAAACTACAGGCCTTGCAATTAGCAGCCTAACGGTCGTCACTACGCCATCAGGGCTAGGTGGGAGAGAGAGGCAGTCCCCTGGATAGGGCTAAGGGGTAACTCGGTGGCTTCTATCCAAAAAAGGTGGGCAGTTCAAGTCCACTTAGCTGCACGTCGGTAAGGCCTGGCAATCTACTTCTGAGAAGGCAGCCCCTGAGCCCCGTCCAGCCCCATTCTCCTCTGACTCCCAGGGGCTATCCAAGAATCGGAATGGACACAATAGCAAGCGGAACCAGGGCGAGGTGGGAAGCATACGAGGAAAAGGGGCAAGGGTGGCAAGCCAAAGGATAGAGCGCTGATTTAGAAATCCTTTGATTTGAGAAGGTTAAATAAAAGAAGCGATACCGTCAAGTACTTCAGACTCATCGCGACTCCAGACAGGGCTTTTGAGACTGTGCATTTTTACACGAGCAGACAGCCTTTCTCCCTGTGGGTTCGAACCACTGGCCTTGCAGTTAGCATCAAACGCCGACATGGGGCACAGCTTAGAAATCTCTCACCCCTCCACAGAAAGTCCCTCTGATCTGGGCACACAGTCCCCCATGGATCTCGGTACCTGGAGATGCTATCTACTGTCTAAAGCTTTTCCATCTTGTCCTAGTTTTCGATCTCCTGTGGACAACTCTGCCTCCTCTCGCTGTTTGCTTTTCTCCTGTCTACCTTCTACACAAGATGCCTTCTACTAAGCCATTTCCTAATTTTGCCTGCTTTTTCTTGCTCTGTAGTTTCTCAGGGCTAATTCTTCTGGTCCCCAAACTTCCAACATCACTTGTTTAAGGATTATCTCCCCTCCTCCCCCCAATTTATATTTATGGCCTTGGTACTCCTCTTAACGTCTGGACATACATTTCCAACACATAACTGCCTGGGAAGAAACTTGTCCAAAATAAGATCTGACCTTCCTGTGAGGTTCTGTCTTCACTCGTGGTCTCACCAGCCCACTTATGACAGCAACTACAATCCATTTCAAGTTGTTCCCCCACCCCCATGCTGCCCACAGCTGACAATAAAAGTGGCACCCTGTCTACCCTGAGTCCATATCCTTCTTTCTCTTTTGCCCATCATCTCGGGTCATACTTTTATCATCTCTGACCGGACTGCCACCATTGATGATCACCTACGTCTACTTCATTTCTCTCTAAGCACCCACTCACAGCACATGCGTGTTACACACATCAGATCGCGTTCCCTGCTTGCTCAAAAACACGCGGGGTCTTGCTTCAGCATACAGAACAGTCTACATCTCTTGGTGTTCTCATTTACGGTCCTTCACAACCAGGGCAGAATGAAAGCCTAAGGGGCCCCTTGTTGTTGTTGCTGCTGCTAGGTGCCATCAATTGGTTCTGACGCATAATGACCCTGTCTGTGTACAGCAGAACACACACTGCCTGGTCCTGCATGAGCTTCACAGTCGTTGTGGTTACGGGTGAGCCCACTGTTGCAGCCACGGTGTCCATCCAGCTCGCCGAGAGCCCTCCTCTTTTTCGCTGCCCCTCCACTTTACTAAGCCTGCAGTCCTTCTCAGAAACTGGTCTCTCTCGACACATGTCCAAAGGATGTCAGATGAAGTCTCGCCACCTTTGCCTCTAGGAAGCATTCCAGCTGTACTTCTGCCATAGGCAATCCAAGGTACTTTCCACATTCTTCGCCAATACATAGTTCAAAGGCATCAAGTTTTCTTCAGCTTTCCTTATTCAATGTCCAACTTTCACATGCATCTGAGGCAACTGAAATACTATGGCTTGGGTCAGGTGCATCTAGTTCCCAAAGTAGCAAAGTAACAGCCTTGCTTTTCAATTCTTTTAAAAGGTCACGTGCAGCAGATACGATGCAAGGCATTATGTGATCTCTTAACTGACGCGTTCACGAGGACTGATCGTGGATCCCAGCAAGATGATGATGTCCTTGACAGCTTCAATCTTTTTTCTGTTCATCATGACGCTGCCTGTTGGTCCGGTTGTGAGAATTTTGGTTCTCATTACATTGAGTTGTAATTCATACTGAAGGCTGCAGCCCTTAATCTTCATGAGCAAGTGCTTCAAGTTCTCCTCACTTTCAACCAGCAAGGTTGTGTCCTCTGCATATCAAAGGTTGTTCCTAAGCCCTTCCTCCAATTCTATTACCAGATTCTTTGTCACATAATCCACCTTTTCTGATATTCGGTGGAGCCTTCCTCTTCTTACTCACATATGTCAACAGCATACATGCGTTATATAGGTGCATGGACTGTACACAGGTCTGACAGAGGACATTTGTGGTAGTTACATAATCCGCTGTCAATCTGGGACTTAAGAGTAAAGGGGTGGAGTTTAGCCTGTCAATCAGGTCACAGCTTGGTGACCTTATTTGGGGGCGCTAAGGAGATAAATAGCTCGCTGGAGGTAGGACACAGACTCCTTGCTGACAAGACACATGGAGCTACGCTAGAGCCCTGGAGCTGAAGGAGCCATGTGGAGCTCACCCCTGCCAGCGCTGAGATGCCTTTACTGCCACTGGATCCCCAAGACTTTCCAACCACTGGCCTGTGATCTTCCTGAACTCAGCATCATTGCAATGTTTCATGAGTCTCAAGGGGAATTTATACATTGGTATTGGACATATGGGCTAATATCGGACTTATAGACTTGATCTGGACTGGGCTGGGATGTTTTCTCAGTATTCAATTGCTCTTGTATATAAAGTTCTCTCTTATACATATGAGTATCCATGAATTTGTTTCCCTAGTCTACCCGGACTAACACAACACTTCTATATATGCATTAATAATGTGCTATAAACGTATCCACAAACATAGTAGGCATAAAGGAGGCAAAGTTATAAAAACTTGCTAGCACCAAACACCTTGAGTGAATAAGTTGCTGAACTTGGGACCATAATCTCAGAACTGAGACACCAAGGTCAACTAGCACAACATAGTCTACAAAGACCATGTTCTACATCCTACTTCGATGAGTAGGGAGTGGGGTCTTAACAGCTTTTTTGAGCAGATAACTAAGGTACAAGTATTGGTGTCTCCTCTCTGGAGCATGAAAGAGTGAAGAAAATCAAAGATGCATGGAAATAATTAGTCCAAAGGACTAAGTGACCACAAGAACCCCAGACTCCATGAGTCTGAGATTAGATCTAGATGGTGCCCAACTCCCACTACCAATAGCTCTGAAAGGTCTCACACAATAGGACATCCTGGGTAGGGTAGTAGAAAAATGTGAAACAAAAGTGTGGGGGGGAGGTAAAGGGGTGGGGTGTGTGTGTGAAGAGCAGCCTTACCGCTCTGATAAAAACTCACAAATGCATTCCCTCAGCTCTTTCCCCGTTTCCCCCTTGGGCGCTATTTTCTAACACAACTGAAATCTAAGTGTAGGACTCCAGGACCGAAAGCATGGTAACATGCACTTCCCAACATGGATGAGAAAGACATTTTAATACTCAATCATTGCCTAGGTCTGTTTTTAGGAGTTGCTCCTTGGAGAGTCTTTCTCTGCCATCGAGTGGATTCTGACTCACAGAGACCTCACAGGACAGGGTAGAGCTGCCCCTGCGTTTCCCAGACTGTAACTCTTTACGGGAGCTACATCTTTAAGCCTCATCTTTCTTACATGGAGTAGCTGATGGTTTTGAACTGCTGACCTTGCCGTTAGCAGGCCACCAAGTAACCCACTACAGCACCAGGCTATCTGCTCCTGTCCACTGGTAAGTAGAAGTGGTTAAAATATATATAGATATAGATTAACTGAGCAGTGGAGGGGGTAAAAATCAACTGCTTCCAAACAAAAATCTACTGTGCCTCATCTTCAAAATGGAGAGAATGCCCAGCATGTGGTATGACGATGGTATGTTCATTGTTCTGGTGCCCTCATGACCCCGCGCTCCTTTTCTTTCCAGCCAGCACGTTCTCCTGCCTCGGCGTTGACAGCGATGTCGGTTTCTGCAATGTCGGTTTCTGCGTTCTCTTCCACGGCAGCGTTCATTCTTCTCTCTGTGTCCTAGCTGCCTGGTATCGTGCGTCTCCTTTGGAATACTGGTGAGCTGGTTTTGTTGATGCCCAGTCAGCGATTCTCAACCTGATGACCCTTTCACAGGGGTCACCTACGACCATCAGAAAACACATATTTCCATTGGTCTTAGGAACTGAGACACCGGTCCTCTATCCATCTCCAGGCGGGTCCATCTACATGCAGATACACCCACATACAAGTACCCTGTATGCTACACCATGCTTCAGAACAAAATTTCATTTATTTGTCATTAGAAATAAATATTTCACAATATATAATTACTTACTGTTTTTGTGATTAATCACAATACTTTAATTATGTCCAATTTGGAACCATGAAAATACATCCTGCAAATCAGATATTTACATGATGATTCATAACAGTAGCAAAATTACAGTTATGAAGTAGCAACGAAAATAATTTTATGGTTGGGGGGTCACCACAACATGAGGAACTGTATTAAAGGGTCATGGCATTAAGAAGGTTGAGAACCACTGTCCTAAGCACA